TTAGTGATTTTAATAATATTGATAATAATAATAATCACATAACAATTTGCTTTTTATAATATTATATTTCATTAATTATAATATATTTAATTAGAGAAAAACGAATTGAATACCATATCTTTTCATTTCCTTCACCATTTCTTATCTACATATGTAAAAATAGAGAAATAATTTTTGTATAATTTTTTTATCATATATTTTTTATATAACTTGACATATCATTAAAATAATTAATTTTTTTAATTTATGTGAGACCGATGATACTGAATGCATTTACTCATTTAATGACATATAAAAATTATATGAAAAAATAATATAAAAAAATTGTTTCCACAGCACTATTAGTAAAAATATTAAAAGAAAAAAAATAATATAATTAACTCCCTTTTTCTCTCTTTCCTTCAATTTTTTTTAATCAAATAGAATCTTTTTTTTTTCTCTCCTCCCCTCTTCTCAAACTAAATTTATTATTAGAGATCAATTGTAAGAATTGCAAGTTTATTCATTTGCTAAAACGCCAAGTTCATTCATCTACCATATCATAAGCCCTGCACGTTTCAGATTATTACATAAAATATAAGCATAAGAAGCAGTAATAAGGTTCTAGGTATCATTGTCAAACTAACCACATTCAAATAAACCAAATTCAACTTCCTAAACAAAAATGAAATTAAGTGGCACTAGTCAACTTCCTCATTTTCCTGAATTATCCGTCATTCTATCTAAGTATTAATAATGGAGACTTTGAAGTACCTCGCCCCACTTATTTGCAGCTGCTTCAATTTCTTCAAGGGTAACGCCTTCCCCATATTGCATTTTCTTGAGTCTTTCAAAATAAAAATGATTTTTTGATTTTTGTTTACAAGATGTTCTTAAACTAATTTTTGTATATTTTAAAATTAATTCATTGCTTGAAAACTTTAAAAGTATTTATCTATATCAACTTGGTATATTCTTAAAAATTAATTTCATTAAATACTAATTTCAAAGTTTCTAATAAAAAATATAATTTTTATGATCTTATTAACCATGAATTAAGTGGATATGCACCTTTTAAGTTTCTTGTTTTGTCTAAACGGTGCACCTTGAGGCTAGCAGGAGCAGATAAACGCTGCGCTTGGGTGCTGTAGAAGTAGAAGCTTTTGTTAGTGGTGGGCGGTAGACTGTTGATCTCCTGATTTTGTTCTTCAATTTCTCTCTTTCTTGCAATCTTTTTTTGTTTTCTTGGAACTGGGAGAGAATCGGGAGGTAGTTCGATGCCACAGAAGAAGAATTTCAGGAAAAGGAGTTTCGAGGAGGAGGAGGAGGAGGAGGAGGAAGGAGACCAAAACAATGCGTCTGAGGACGAAGAGGAAAGGAGGTAACTTTAGTCAATCACAAAATTGAATGAGAGTTCTTGCTTCTGGAGTTATACGAGAACTGATAATCTAATAATGGGATGCTTAGATTAGTTCTAGAGGAGGTGAAATTCCTGCAGAAGCAGAGGGAGAGGAAGTCGGGAATACCTGCCATTATTCCGACGGTGCAAACAGGAGCCGCGGTTGTTGCTAAAGGGACTGATGAGGTCGAAGTAGATGAAGAGAAGGAAGAGCTCGTTCTTCAAGATACTTTTGCACAGGAAAATGCAGTCATGGTTGAGGATCCAAACATGTAAGCTTCACAGCTAATAAATTCTGTAATTTTGTTTGGTGCCCTTTTGTGTTTGAATGGTGTAGTTCATTATAATAGCCAAAGGAAGTGACTTTAAGCTATTTAGCTTTTTTTTTTCATTGAATGAATGTTTTCTGTTAAAGCTTGTATGTGATGTGGACGAATTGTTTTAGAATTGGAGAGCATGTTCCTCGCTGTTGGGAGTTGTTCTGAGATGCATTATGATCCCCAGTTTCATAATGCATCTTGGAACAAGTTCCAATGGTGGCGAAGTTCATACTTCACAGGAGAAAAAGCTTGTATTTATTTTTTTTGAAGGTGGTTTCCTCTAGGCAGAAGTACAGGACTGAAATTTGTTTTACTTCCCTAAATGGTCGTTGTTATATTGAGGGCATCTCATTTATTTTGTGATTTTTACGTGGACCTTGAATTAAGGGTTCTCCCATGCTAAATTTGGTCACCTTGACTTTCTTGATTTGACCGGCTAAAGTATGTTGAGCAAGAATTGGCGAAGAAAAGGGGTAGGAATATTGTTGCAAAAAATGAAGTTGAGAATGATGTAAATCGTGCTGAAGAGGAATTATATACAATTTCTGAGCATCTTAAGATGAGCTGGATATATAATGGCCATCATATTATTGTAGTACTTATCTTTAAGTGCTGATCAAAAAAAAGGAAGTAATCTTTAAGTTTTTTGTGCTTTAGCTTCCTATGCTTTCACACTTAAAAGAACTACATCCTCTTGTGCTTCTTTTGGTAACTTTTTGCTCTTTCTTTGCAGGTGAAGAAACGAAATTCAGAAGAAAGTTCTACTCAGTGGACTACTGGGATCTCCGAGGTTCAGCTCCCTATGGAGTATTTTCTTTAGAAATCTTTCATTTGATAACATGAGCTTCTTAGGTTTAACCATATTAGCATGATGCCAGTAATACTTGCAAGTGTTCAATTTTCAACAAAGGGAAGATATAATGACCTCAATTTGTCATGTCACTTCTATTATAGTGGGGAGCCTCCATTAGATTGCAAAATGTCATGCCTCTCTTACTATAATGGGCTAATTGTTCCTATGCTTGCAGATACAAGTTAAGAAATATTGAGGAAACAGAGGCTGCCAAAAAGCTTCTACAGGAAAAGCGGCTTATTGGCCAGACAAAATCAGAAGTTAGCATCTCTTCTGTGCTTTTGAGATTAGAATGATATCAGTGTTCACCTCCCATCAAATTTCAGAACTTGGTGTTGCTTGCTTGTCTGCGCCAAGTTATATCTTGTCAATATTTTATGTGACGTTGTAATCTCGAGTTCTGTCTTTTCTGTTTTTGTATATCTAATGAGGCATGTGTGTGGTCTTCATTCTATAAACTTGCAGAACATCCTGAGCTATACAAAGACAGAGGTTCACAAGATGATAATGCTAAGCCCAGGCCGACTGATACCGGGACAGCAGGAAGTAGGCAAGCTGCAACAGATGACTTCATGCTGGAAAGGTTCCGGAAACGGGTAATGCGGATATAGATAGCACTTGGTTATGCAAGTTTGTATGATTTCCATCCATGAACGCCATTGTTATACAATTTATAGAGCTGCTAGTTATTTTACTGGTATGAAATGATTGGAACGTTAACAACTACAATGCACTTTAAACCCTGGATTTGGTGTCACCACACTAACACCCTCCTCTTACAGAGAAGCCATCAGGCCACATGCCTGATTGAGAGGTAAATGATCCTAACTCAAGTTAATTTCATTGAAGAAGTCACTAACAAGCCCGAATTCGATCTTCTTGATTTTTTATATAAGTTGAGCTAAAACTTGACAGAGACTCAAGTTATGCTTGAGCTTTTTAAAAACTATACCATCTGAATTTAGGATAGACAGTACTTGGCTCTGCAGGCTCAGTTATTAACAGCACTACCATTTATGCAACGCTTTTTTAACAGATTACAAACTGGGAGTAGGGGGAGTCGAATTGAGCTGGGGTGCGGGAGTGATGTAAAGTTGTAAACTATTTTAATTTCGACGGTTGTTGCCAAAACCAAAATCTGGAGAGGTGGCCCAACTTGCATTTGCGGAAACATAATATGGATCCAAGTCTATACCCAATCCAAGACTCGGAATTAGTGCTGAAGAAACCCCTGCTGATTGGTGAATTCGATCGGCAAGTCCTTAAAAGTGCCTGGCAACTTGGAGAAGAGAAACTATTACTCCCAGAGAGTTTACGACACCGTCGTCGTCAACAGCGCCAGCAGTGGCGGCGCCTGTGTCAGAGCCATCTTTTGGCAAATGCTGGCGGTAGGAATGGATGATGTCGGAGATGAATATAGAGTCGTCTTGGAAGACAAGACAACACTTCAACTGTTAGCATCATCGCTCGGCAGTCCCAGAAACTACATACTATCTCTAACACCAATCAAAACGAAAGAGACTTGTTTTATTTTTGGACCATAATAAGGAAACATTTTCACATTAGGGAAAAATTGGGATTATATTATAGCATCGATTACCCTCATGATTTTAGTGGATCAAATCACAATACAACTGATCCTAATATAGAAAGAAGAAAGAATAGTATCTAATTATAAAAGAAAGAAATATCATATTATTATGAATCAAATTATAAGAAATCAATTTATTAAATAATGAGAAATCAATTTATCAATTAATTAATTTTAAAGATTTGATATTTATTATAATTTTATTAATAAGAATATTTTTAATTAGTTATTATTATTATTTTTATTATGTATCCCACATTTTATAAATATAAAACTTGCAAAAAATTTTATACCATTATGATATCCACATAATTATCTTTTATTTTATTTATCTTTTTATTAAGATATTTCTTTTATTAAAAATTTCCTCACCATATTAAAAACTTCTCCAAGGCATACGAGCCTATCCCAATCCCAACTTAACCTTGAATCGAAATAACCTTATCTATTGCATAACATTTTTACTCTCGTTTTGCCTCATTGCGCCGTTTAAACTTCAGTGGCAAAACCCACGTCTCTAGTGATCACCTTTTAGCTATGGGTTCAACCTCCATAGATTTTCTTTTTCTTTTTAGTACTCAATAGTAATCTCATTTTAATAAAAATAAGAAGTTTTGATTATAAATCATATAATATACATGTGAAATAAATAAATAAATAATTATTTTTTATTATACAATTCAAAATAAAATCTTAATTGTGCTTGGGTCAATATGTCCATTTAGCATCCTCATGACTAGAGTTTTTTTTTTTTTTTTTTTCTAATGAGCTGCATGAATATAAATTAAGAACTTGAACCACACAAGTTGAATCTGGGATCTAAGTTCAACTTTTATTTTTAGGCCCTCGTAGATAGCCCAAATTTCGCCAACGAAATTGGTTCATCTCCCAATTCCCTTTTTTTACAGATCTCTTTTAATCCACAACCCATTGCATGCAATCCCTTAATTAAGTTAAGATACTTCCAGCCCCGGAAATGCCCTTTGTTGGATCCGTTAGCCAACCCATGCAATCTGTATTTAGATCAATATCCATTTAACAATTGGATTTATCCATCTCACAAGAATTAAATCTAGTATACTTTTTTATCGTTTCTTTTCTTTTGAGGATATATGATGTTGAGCAGCCCAGCTTGAACTAATGGCTTTTTTTTTTCGAAAGGCCTTGACCTAATGAGATCTGATGTGGGAAATTTATGTTTTCACTTAACTTAGTCTTAAGAAAGAGATAAAAATATTTTTTTGATCCAAGATAAAAGTAAGGAGGATATATAAGGTTGAAATTAGGAAAAAAAAATTTTGTCTTTGTAAAAATATAAAAAACAACAAATAATTTAAGATAAATTTTGAATTAAAAATCAATTAATATTATTGTGAAACAGATTGAGGGAGTAAGCCACAATAATGGGACAAAGTCTAGTAGCTATATTTAAAATTAAATAATCTCAATTTCGTTTTCATCTTGTTAGTTTATGTGATGCATGTATAGGAAAATATAATTAGTGTCAATTATCTAAATAATTATCTAAATAGTTTAATAGTAATTTTCTTTTTAAAAAATAAAAGATCTTAAATTTGAATAACATATATATGAATTGATTGAGTTAAAAGATGAGAGAGGTTTATTTTTCATTATGTAACTTAAAATAAAAAATAATATAATTAATTCAATTAACTTATGCACTTACACCTTTCATTTACCTTGTTCATAGTTATGTACACTCTTCTTCTCAAAATGATTGTTTTTTTTTTAATTTATTTTTTTTTTTACAAATTAAGAATTTATAGTACTAAATAACAATTGTCTGACATCACTTTTTTGCACGATGCGTCATTAAAATACTAAGTTTGCTATAATTAAATTTACATCTCAATATGTATAATTTTTAAAAAATTATTATTAAATATTAACATTAATTTTGTTATAACAAAAGGAAAAAAAAAAAAAGAAAAAGAAAAAAGAAAAAGTCATAATCACATTACAATGGAGTGCCTAACAATCCTCTCAATGCACCATAAACAATTCATCATTTATCCCTATCACTTATACCAATATTTTTTTCATACAATTAATGACAAATGTCATTCTTAAACATTAAAATTTTTCTGCGTAACCATATCAATACTATTAATTAAGATCAGGACAGCCGCCCATAGATTTTTTGTTTTTTTTTTAAAAGGAGATTAGGACAGCCTCATATATTCCATTATTGTGCTGAACGCAACACCGATGATATAATATTAACGATGGGAAGCCTCATATGTTTCATTATGATGTCGAAACCTAAAGATATTACTTTAATTCTTTTTCAATATTCCCTTAATTAAACCTTTGCATTGCAAGAATTTAGAGTACTGTTTTTTTTGGGATTATTGGATCATAAACTTTAGGTTAAATGTTAAATTTGGTCCCTTAACTTTATGAAATGCACAATTTTGATCCCTCAACAAAATTTTACACTTTTTTTATCCTTCAACTATATGAAATGCATTCCGTTAGTCCTTTTGTTAATTTGGGCCGTTAACTCTGCCTATGTGGCATTTTTTATATTTTTTCTGATGATGTGGAGAGCAAACTTTAAAAAAGTGATGTTATGCATAAAACTTGTCATGTCATGCTACTGTGGTCAAAATGCGCCAAATCCGTCCAAATGGGTCCCACATCACTACTAAGAATTGCTTCTTTTGGCCATCTGTTACTGTTTCTGTTCTTTCCATCGATGATGTTCTTTCCATTTTCAAAATTGAAATAATTTAAATAATACTTAAAAAATATGAAAAAAAAATCCCAAAAATCGCTCACAACAACCTGCAATTTGGATAATCTCTTGACAACCAAACATATAACAAAAAAAAAAAAAAGTAGAGTTGAGTTCGACGGAACCCAGCCTGGGTTCCACCGAACCTAGTAGATCTAGGTTCAATGTAACTCAGCAAATAGGTTCCATCGAACCCAGCTCGATTCACTGGAACCCAGTTGCCCAAAAATTCCTCACAACAACTTGTAATTTGGATAATCTGTTGGCAAACAATCATATAACAAAAAAAAAAAAATCAGTTACCCAAAAATCCCTCACAACAACCTGCAATTTGGATAATCTCTTGGCAAACAATCATATATAAAAAAAAAAAATCAATTGCCCAAAAATCCCTCACAACAACCTGCAATTTGGATAATCTCTTGGCAACAATCATATAAACAAAAAAAAAAAGGAGTTGGGTTTGACGGAACCTAGGCTGGGTTCCACTGAACCCAGCAGATCTAGGTTCGATGACCTGAGGAAGAAGAGGAAGAAAGAAGAGGAAGAAAGGAGAGGAAGAAAAAAAAAGAAAAAGAGAAAGGAAGAAGATGAATGGAATTATTTTATTTTATTTTTTTAAAATATAAATAGTAATCACGTGAGTTGGCATAAAAAAAGATTCCACGTCAACACGTTTTTAATTTGTTTTTACCACGTCATAAAAAAAACTATAAAAAATGCCATATGAGCGAGTTAACGATCTAAATTAACAGAAGGACTAACGGAGTGCATTTGTTAAAGTTTAAAGATAAAAAAAGTGTAAAAAATTATTAAGGGACCAAAAATGGACAACTCACTAAAGTTGAGGGATCCAATTTAGCATTTAACCTAAACTTTATATAGAGAAATTTAAAGAATTCTTTAAGGATTTTTCTGTTTATTGCAAGCCAATCATCTTTCATACCATTACTTAGAGAGCCATGAGAGGAAGATGGCCTCAATAAGTTAAATTCTTTAGGAATTTTTCTTAAGCTCAATGTAGATGATTAATTGATAAGTAACTAAATTGCATCGCTTAAGACTACTTTTTTTACCAATTAATAAAGTCAAATATGTCTTGCAATTCTAGAGAATTTTTTTTTAAAAAAATAGGTAAATCGGTCAATTCTTGGGATTTGAACCTTTAATCATAATACCAACGATTGGGTAACGTAGAAAGAACTCAATTTTTTTAAAATAAAATTTTAAATTTAAGTTTTGTGAAGTAAGAACAAGCGTTAAAAGTGTTTTTTTTTTCTATGAAATTTAATCTATTTCAATTCTAAATTAATTAAGATTCAATGTAATTTTTAAATATCAGGAGTTAGTGCCCAAAAAAAATTCAAAATTTAGATTTCAAAGTTAATGAATACTAACTCAATTAATTTATTGTTAGTTAAACTATATAATACTACTAAAAGTATAATTATTTAAGTGGATTCTTGTTTTTTTTTTTCCTTTTTTTTTTTGGCCTTCAAGTGAATACTTGTTTAAAATCTTAAGTAAAGGTAAGAGACTCAGTAAGACCTGTAGAATAATTAGTCAAACTATTAGTAAAAATACATTTTTACACTCATATGATTAGGTTTTGAACTCTCATTTCTCTTTGGCAAAATACCTAAATCCATCATCAAAGTATAGTAACAGAGATAGATCTACCTTCAAACAAAAAACGAAAACAAATCCACCTATAAAGTTTTTGACTTGGACAAATAACTACAAATTTAACAAGTGGCGTATTTGACGTCAACAATTCATTAATTTATTATATCACTAATAATAGATTGTTGATGTTAAATGACATTAAATTAACAGATTACTGATATCAGATAACGTCACATATTAAATTTGAGGTGATTTGTCGATATTAAAAATTTTGTGAGTGTTTCTTTTTTTTTTTTTGTTTTGAGAGTAGATCCATCCCTACCACAATACTTTGAGGGTAAATTAGGGTATTCTACTTTTATCCTTCTCACTCCTCTCCCTCAGTTTGAACTAACTCAGCCATCCCATACAAAGGGTAAACGTTAGAGACTCTTTTAAATGTTGTTGATATAGTATCATTTTAGTTAAAGGTATATTATTTGTGGGGGAGACTATGAGATTCAGTAAGAAGTGTTCAACAAATACCAGTCAAATAGTATAAGGTATGAAAGTTGAAACATGCACTAAAATAAATTGAATGCAAAATGATACTCTATTTATTTCAAAAATAATTGAATTTAAGGGATGGTTATTTTAGCGTTTTGAAAATAATTATTAATTATTAATTATTAATTTTAGTAAAATAAATTAAAATTTTAAATTATAAATAATAATAATTATTAATTATTAATTGTCAACTTCATTTTAATAGTAAATCCAAATACCACTTGTATTTACTCAAAAGTCGACAATATATTATCTTTGAAATAGAAGGATACCATATTCCCTTCAATTTATAAAATCAAAATTTCAGTGAGAAAGTCAAAAAATGTAAAATGGCCCACAATTGTGCTTGCTTGTGTGGCCATTTCCATTATTTTGAAAGGTTGATACTAAGTAGTTGATGCCACCGTCAGAATTTAGAAAGGAAAGACCAGCACCACTCTTTTAGTTTCGGCTTCGTTTTTAAACAAAAGAGAAAGAACCTTCTACACACACCCAAAATTCTTCCCATTTTCTTTTTATATTCCAAAT